AGGAGAAGTAGTAGTAGTAGTCGTAGTAGTAGTAGTAGTAGTAGTAGTAGTAGTAGTAAGAGGAGTAGTAGTAGCAGCAGTAGCAGTAGCAGTGGCAGTGGCAGTACCAGTAGCAGTAGCAGCAGCAGTACAGGGGCTACGTGCTTTGCTGAATGAAGAAGTAGAAGAGGCTGAATCAGTCTGAAATTCTGAAAGCATGCTGAACTGGGCGGAAGACCGTTTTTCACAACCTGTTGCTGTGGTGATTCAGTCTCGTCCAGCTTCGACTCTGTCGTGGTTGAAATTCGTGTGGAACAAACAAGCGTCCACAGCGTCCCCCTCCCAATCCCTAAACCCCAGAAAAACCAACAGCCGCAGCCCCAAAAAGACCAAAATTCAAACAGCGGTAAACCAAAAACCCAAAACTCCCAAAGCCATCAACTCTACAACCAAAAGCCCCAAACCTGCAACCCAAAACCTGCAAGAAACCCAAAGCCATCCCAATCGCTATACTTCAAGTCATTGTTTTGAAGCCTTAGAAGGAGCTCCTCGAGGAGGGGGTCGACATCGACTTGAAGGGACGCTACAGGCAGCCATGGAGCAAACACTGCTCAGTGTTTTGGGGTTTATAGTGCTTCGGGAAATTATGCGCAAGACGCGGATGCACCAGGTTTTTTTTTGCGGAGGCTCGTCCCATTTTTGGGGGGTATGGGGCTTTAGGGCTGCAGGATCCTGCAGTTCTGTTTCTCCGTTTTGGATGCTTCGGTCGTATTCCCTTGGCCTGTCGTGCCTGGTCTGGAATTGGCTTAGTTGGAAGTCGTGAGCATCATGAACCACACACACTGAACATCGTAATGATGCTCCTGTCGTAATTAGAAGCTTTAGAGTAACGATCAGAATACCAAGGCACTAAGGTGTGGTTCAACGGCCCAGCAAGGCTTTGGGGAGCTGAGGCGAACGGCCTTCGCTGAAGCCCACTTGCGTGGCCACTTTGCAGCGGGGCTCTTGGGTACCAGGAGTAGCAACAGTCAATGAGCATGGAAGAGCACTGAATGACGCCGTCCAGCCGTGGGTTTTGTGCTGGTCTTTGAGGTCGAGGCTTTCCTAGTGCAGCAGGGCTGCAGCCGCGAGATCCCGCTGCTCGGAAGTTGTGTATTTTTGATATTGTACTTAGTTTTAACAAAACAAAACTGTCAGCTCAGGCACCCCGAGCATTTGAAGTGCCGGCCTGATCTTGGGATGACGGGGCTCATCGGTTTAAGGCACCTGCTTAGTTTGAGGTTCAACCCAGGCGGGGCCGCCATTCCGCGAGGTGGCGTGGCGCGCTGCTCAGAGAAATGCCATGCTGCAACGAAGCCATGTCCGCCCGCCTTTACTGCCCTGGCTAGGTGCCCAAGCGAGAGAAGCAGTACAGTCGTGAGGAGGACGGGAGCCCTTTGCCACCTTGCTTTGCCGTGTACACATCGTCAGCGGTTGGTGCATGGCAGCGACGCAAGGATGCAGAGTGGTACGACGACATGATGGAGAAGCCAGGGCCCAAGCAATCGGCTTGCCTTTTCCTCTGCCTGGTGTTTGGGCCCTGCCATGCACGCTAAATCGCAAGGCGTTATCCTGGATACATGGAGAAGTTCATGAAAGCCGGCAAGTGATAGAACAAGGGATCAAAGCGTGACATCTCTTCGGTTTCAGACACAGCAGCTTCTCTTCTATGCGGACAAAAAGGAAGGGGCCGCAAGGCCTTGGTCAGTGCAGCTGGCGCGACTACGGCCCTATCGAGAGATCAGTGCCATGTCCCATGTCTCGCCAGAACGAGGAAGGCAAAACATGCTCGATGCTTGCCGGGCGTTGGAACTTCAACTGAGAAAGGAAGTGAGGGTGGCAGGGCGGAGGGCTGTTGACAGGCGAAGAGCGAGGAGGGGTTGTTATGTTTTGCATACTTTTTGCTCCGGTTGCTGTTGTTACAGCTGCTGTTGTTGTCTTATTCTTGTTGTGTGTTGCTTACAAGCCCGCTGCCGGGACACGACGAAATTGATCAGCACATGGTTTTATTTCATCTGTGATCAACTTGATGTTCGCGACAGAGGAACAAGGAAATTCACGGAGGATTTCCAGGCTCTGCCCCGGATCGTCTCGAAAGTCGGTGTCCGCAAGCATGGCATGGTTGGTGCTCTTGGCCGTTCTCTTCCCAGCTCAGACAGGTGCATCGTGCCTGCCAGAGGCCATTAACATCAGCCAGCGGAAGTACCTGACGAATGTTAATGGTGAGTCCTACCCCATTGGCATGTTCATGGGTAACTGGGATGCATCCTTCCTCACAACCCACCTACTGAAGATCATCATCGAGGACAGAGCTTCGCTTTCGATTTATCAGGAAGTTAGGCCTCTTTTTGACATCTCGGCCTCCAGGAACGGATGGGCTTCCACGCTGAGGCGACGGGTCCTGGTCCTTCCACGTTGAGTTGCTTCTACGCGCTGCTTGGCTGTAAGGCGCCTGGTAACAGCACTGACAGGGGATGCGGTCAACCAGTGACCTACAACCACATCAATCTCGAAGCGTGGTCGGAAGGCTATGCGAACGAGTGGAAACTCATCCAAAGTCAATACGCCTCCATGGCTCCCGTGGACGTGGGCAGCATGGGTTACGATGGCTCCTCTTCATTTTTCATCCGGAAGACAGTGAGGAGCCATGCTTACTACCAAGATGGGGTTGCGCTGGACTTCTACCGTGGATGGAACATGTCGTGGAGCGAGCCATCGAGGTACTTCGATACCCTGGCTTCTATCAGCCGTGACCTGATTGTGCCTTGTACACAAACTCGCTTCATGGCGACAGCAGCGAACCAGAACTATCTGCGAATCACAGGTGGGGCGCTGGCTGGAGCGCTATGCATGAATAGTAGATGAGTAGGCTTGGTGGCATTGGGACGTTCCGGGCGTAGGCATGTTGGCCTGAAGCAGGTGACGATGCAGGTGTCGAGATGCTCCCAGACGGCACGCTTGCTGCCGTTTGTCCTGATGACTACTTCTGGCTCTCTCCGACCTGCCGCGCAGATTCGACTCGGTGCGTGCCGTACGTTACTGGCGGCTCGGGTTGGGGTCTGGATGATTTGATGCAAAAGGCTGCTAGCTATGACATGCCTGTTGCCATTGGGGTTGCAAGATCATGGTCAACACTACCTCGAGAGGTAAATGTGTTTTTTTACTGGTGGGTTCCAGATACTACGTTCTTGGATCTGGATCCGGTCGAGATCGTGTTTCCTCCATATGACTTCCGTGCGTACACAAGTGGTGACAAGCGCACTTTGGCTGCATCTTCCGCAATTACCAAGATCGTCAGCCAGGACTTGGTCACCTTAGCGCCCTCGGTGGAAGACCTCGTGCGGAACTTGCGATTGGGACTTAACGATGTCATGAACATGCTGAAGGACATGCAAGACACCGGGGACTCATATGCGACTGTGGCCTGTCACTTGGTCAATGTTGTACAGACTTGAGGTCAGCTGTAGGGTGTGACGCTTAGAACGAAGCCGGGCAGCGCGAGTCAGGGGTCGACAGCCAAGGTCGCTGGTTACAGTCGAACCCCAGCTGGCAGGATTGGCTGCCGGACCGCACCAAGTGCTCCCCCGGCTTCGGCCTCTACGACACGACGCAAGATAGCTTTATTGGCACACGTGCAGACCCGACCTTCCTGGAGTGCCGTGCTTGTGTGTCCGGAAGATATTCAGCTCGGTTGCACGACTCCGCAGGGATTACCCATGTGTGCGAGTTCTGTGAGCCTGGAAGCAGCCAGGCATCGGGTGCAGCTTTGCAGTGCGAACTGTGCCAGCTGGGGAAGTCACAGAATAACTCTGGCAGTCAAGAATGTAATCGCTGCAAAATCGGTGAGTACCAGGATGAGCCAGGTTCCAGCAGCTGCAAGCCTTGCTCAGGTGGCACGACCCTAGGTTTGGGGTCCACTACACTTGAGGACTGTGGCTGCCCGACGGGCTTCATTGATGCTTCGGAGAGCACCGCGAACCTGAGCTGCATCGAATGTGCGGAAGGCCGGGACGGTTTGCACGATGGGATTTGTTCTTGATTAAGAGCGAGATCACGATGCAGTGTGTGACAGGCTTGGACTGCCCAGCGCTCGCCACGCTCCAGGGACTTCGGTCCGGCAGCTCAAACCTGGGCCCACAGTTTGTGGCGAGCATCCTTCCCGGATTCTACAGCAGCATGGCGGAGCCGCTGGACCTGTATCGCTGCGTCGAGGCTGCTACAGGCACGCGCTGTCCGGGTGGCATACCCGCAAGTTGTACGGGACTACTGAACAACACGGCCTGCACCGATTGCCCCAGCGGAAGGCACTGGGACAGGTCTGAGGGACAGTGCGAGGAGTGCACGCCCTGGCAGCAACTAGGTTGGATCCTCGCAGTCGCAGTGTTTTTGGCTGGCCTGGTCATGGTCTACTACATGATGACTGCTCAAAAAACGGCCAAGGCCTCCGTGCTCTTTACAACGACCTGCGCTTTCGGCATGACCATCTCGTCGCTACAATCCGTCGGCATCATTGGGACGATGACCGTTCAAGTTCCTGAAGGTTTGAAAGCCATCTATGCATTTCTGCAGGTATTTCTGCTGGACTTCGATAACTTTGCTTTCAGCTGCGTCGCAGGTCGTTCTGCCCCTGCTCGCTACATCGTGTCGGTCCTTGTCTTCCCGGGTGCTGTATGCTGGCTCGTGTGCTGCCACCATGCCTCCAAGCTCCTCCCCAAGAGGCTGCGATGGGAAGGTAGCAAGACGAAGAGCACGATTGGAGCCTTGCTACAGCTTGCGTTCAGCACGATGAGTACCATTTCCATGGCACCGATGATGTGCTTCAGGCGTTGGGTGAACATTGCCCCCGTAAGAACCTCGCGATACCTAGAGAACAACTTTTGCCTCGAGCTTCAAGCTTGAATCCCTGCTTCAGTCACCCGAATGGCGTCTTCAGCCTCTTGAAGTACCCCAGCATCACTTGTGGCACGGAGGACCA